AAATTTAGATACTTTTGAGTGAGTCTTGGCCTAGTCCCCCCACTTTTTTGTGTATCAATCTTCTTTTGATTATAATATTGACTTTTATAAATAATAATAATAATAATATTTCTTAAAAATATATGATTTTTGAATATTTATTAATAAAAAAAATTTTAAATAAAAAATAAATTTTGTCTGATCTTTAAACAAAATTTACTATTTTTATTTAAATAAAATGATATTATACTTGCCTTAAATACACCATAAAGTTGTTATATTTTTAAATATCATTCCAAATCATTTAAAAACTATATAAAAAAATTTAAATCAATAAAGAGTAATGAAATTGATAGGTTTTCTATTATTTTTAAATATCTTAAAACAAATTTATTTTTATATATATTGTTTTTTGTTTTTTATGTATTCTTAACCTCGCTTTTATGTGCTAATTATTCATTATTTAATTTTTTTTATACACATTTTGAGCATTATTTTATATTCTATTTAAAATTGAAACAATTTATTAATTAACTTTAAATAATTAAATTTTATTTTATTTATAGAAAATAAAAAAGGTGAGATTGGTTTTAAAATAAGAAGAAGTGATTTTCTTTATTAAGAATCTTGTTCAAGAGTGTTATACGCATACACATCAGTACACCAAAACTTAAACTCTCTAGTAAGGGAATGGACTTGAATGTATGTATTGTGAACAGATGAATGATACCTTAATTTTTTATTCATCCCGAAGAACCCAGATCTTGCCATTATCATGCTTTGTATAGCTATCCATGTAAGACCATTTTTGGTCTAGCTTACCTCAACAGTTCAAGTCTTATTTTTCGTAACTCTTGTTTCAACCAATATAACAGTATCAAGGTCCATATTATTGAGGCAGGAGCTAACCTCTCTACACTTACCTTATATAGAGCTATTACAACCTCAAATAATTGGTCCTTGGATTCTTACAGGTGATTTTAATAACGTTCTCAAAGCTCAAGATAGATTTGGGGGTAATTTCGTGATGGAATCAGAATATGTTGATTTTGTGTAAATGATAGAAAAAATGGACCTCGATGAAAAGGATAGCTAGGATGACCATTTCACGTGGTCAAATAAGCAGGTGAATATGACCATTTACTCCTGCATAAATAGGGTTATTGGTAACATGGAGTGGCTTCAAAAGAATATTGACACAACTTTGCATATCATGGGTGCAGGAGTCTCAGATCATGCTCTTATCTTCTAGAAGACTCATGAACAAATTACTCCTAAGAGAACTTATTTTAAGTTTCCCAATGTTGTAATTGGCGTAGAAGGTTTCTACAAAGATGTGAAAGATAGCTAGACAGTTCCCTTAGCTTTCACTACCATGTTCATTCTTTGGAAGAAATTACAAATATTACAACATGTCATCAAGTATAAAAGAAGACCTTTTAAGGGATTAAATCAGCTGTTTGAGAAGGCTAGAGAGGATTTAAAGATAGCTCAGCACCTCTTTCTGCAAGATAGAATGAATCATCATCTGATTGATGGAGTTAAAAGTTGCACTGTGGAGGTTCTCAAGTTGAATAACATGGAGGAAAGTATTTTAAACCAAAGAGATAAAGTGGGCTGGCTTAGAATGGGAGATGGTAATAATGCCTTCTTTCGTGCTACTCTGAGGAGCAAGATGAAACAAACGGTAGATGCATACTATCCTTAGTGATGATGGCACCTGTTTGACCAACCAACAAGATATTGAAACTGAGGTTTTAAAGTACTATGGGAATCTTGTAGGCTCATCAACCAGAAGCCTTAATGGGATTGATATTTATGCAATGAGGCAGGGCAATAAACTCAGTACTAAGCAAAGTGATTTTCTTGTTGCTCCTATAACTGTTGAGGAAATTCTAGAATCCCTCAAGGGTATTAAAGACTTGAAACCTTCAGAAATTGATGGTTATGGTGCCAAGTTTTACAAAGCAACTTGGGATATTATTAAAGATGAGGTCAATAATGTTGTAAAAGAGTTTTTTGAGAAAGGGAAATGTATAAGGCTATAAACAACATTATGGTTACCTTAATCCCTAAGACTCCAAATGTTGTTATGGTCAAATATTATGGACCTATATTTTGTTGCACTATCATATAAAAGATCTTATCTAAAATCATGACCAACAGATTAGGAATAGTTCTTGTCAAAATTATTTACCAGAGCCAAACAATGTTTGTGTCAGGGCAACATATTCATGATAACAACCGGCTTGCATATGAGCTAACAAAAAGGTATAGTAATGCTCCGATTTTATCTTATTTATTTTTAATAAATTAATTATATGATACGGTGTATTTATGTGTTGTGATATGGTTTTGTGGCATTTGAATGTCTTAGAGAGAGATGGATATCATAAAAATATAAGTATGGAGGTAGATATATAATATAGTATTATTAGAATTATTACTATTAATATAATAATTAGACTATAGTTGGTGATTAAATAATTATACTTTTAATAATAATTTAAATTAGAGGACGGGAATTATGGGGATTCTTATTTAGGGGTTCAAGGATTATAGTTGGGAAAGAACCAGGGAGTGGAGAAAAAATTGTTTCAATCGATTGTAGAAACTAAAGAAAATAGAGAACGAGGAAAGGAGAAGAGCGTACAAGTTAGGGCAAGGAATTTTTCGGTAGAGAACTAAGAATCGTCAACTAAAGTAAGGGTGGGGTTCTAACTCTATAAGAGAATATGTATTGATGGATTATGGTGGTTATATGACTCATAGTTGTATGATTTTTGTGATGTTCAATTTGGGGTTTTATAGGTATGTGATAATGTTAATGTTTTGTGGTGATTTGTGATTGAATTTCTATGAAATTGATGAAGATTTGTGTTTGGGAAAGAACGGGGATGTTAGGTATTGCTTAGGTTCATTTTGAGAATATTAAATGTCTGGTTTGATGTCAAATTGGGTTTTTTAGGTTAAAACTATTGATTCCCGTAACTGAAAAAATAGCAGAATTTTTCACAGTCACTGTGAGGAAATCGGTTTCCAGTATTGAGGAAAATGATTTCCTGTGCGAAAATTTCAAAATTTGGCTATTGGCAGTGTGGAAACCGGTTTCTAGTAATCCCAAATTTAACTTCCACTTCAAATGTGAAAAGTTGGGTCTTATTAACTTGAGTTTTGTTAATGATCTCTTTCTTTTTGCTTGAGGAGATACCACATCTATTGATCTTCTTATGTAGGCTTTCAAGATTTTCTCCAGCTCCACTAGTCTATCGGTTAACCCCTTGAAGTGAAAGATCTATTATGGAAATATTGATGAGCAAACTAAGGAGGCTATCTCAAGACTTACAAACTTCATAGAGGGCCCCATCCCTTTCAAGTATCGTGATATCCCTTTAACTAGAAAGAAACTTGTTGTGGCTCACTATTTGATCCTTGTTGATAAACTGGTAGCTAGAATTAGACATTGGAACAATAGACTCCTTAGTTTTGCTGGAAGAGTCAATTGGTAAAAAGCATGTTGTTTGCAATAAGAAATTTCTGGATGCAATGTATTCCCCTCCCTAAGAAAGCGATTAGAGCAGCTGAGGCAGTTTGAAGATCTTTTCTCTGGTCAGGTGGAGAAAAGATCACTAGAAAATCTCCTGTGTCGTAGGACAAAGTCTGCAACCCCAAAAATCAAGGGGGTCCTAACATCATTTCTTTGTATTTTTGGAGTCAAACCTTTTTAATGAAGATGCTATGGAATTTATGTGAGAAATTTGACAGCCTTTGGATCAAGTGGATTCATTGATATTATGTGAAAAACAATAATATCATGATTGTTCCAATTAAAAACTTTTGCTCATGGATCCTTAAAGTGATTCTAAATATTAGGCATAAGGTGGATCATCTTTAGAATTGGAACATCATGCTCCAATGGCCAAATCAAAGTTGAAATTCTCAAAAGCGCCTTTACAGAAATTGTCTATAAGAGCTGGATTTTCACCGCAAGTCTTTTTGATCTTTTGTAGGTTGGATCCTTATGATCTCTATGCTTTGTATGGTTTTTGATTTAGAAATAAAGTATTTCCTTTCTAAAAAAAGTTATTTATTTATAAAATATTTAGAATCACATTTTTTTTATAAAATTGAAGAGTTATTAAATTGTTAGAAAAAGTGGTAGAGATCTATTTAATTTTATGAGAAGAAGAAATTAGGATTTGATAAAATAAAAATTATTTATTACTAGAAATAGGAAAAAATATTTTAAATAAGAATCATGAGTCATTAACTAGTCATTTTTAACCATTATATTAAAATAATATCAAAGGTTATTTATTAGTGCAACGAGAAAGGGTAATCTAGAGTGAGAGGAATTGATAACAATATATTTAATTAGTTTTGTCAATAACTGTTATCATATGTTATTTGTGATCTTCTACTTTAGTATTTCTTGATTGTGTTAGAGTTTATCCGGTGTAGAAAACATTTGCCATCTATAGTTATAAGAATTAAAGCTCTTTCGGAGAAAGGTTTTTTTACAATATATGGACCTTCGTAGTTTAGGGTTTACTTTTCATATAAATCTTTGTGTATGGACAAGATATTCTTGAACACGGGATCATTCTTGAGGTTGAACCTTCTTGTCAAATACCTTAAATCAATGCAACATATATCTGATATATAATGTGTTATTTTCAAAATCTCATGTTCAAATTCAATTTTAAATGTGAATAAATAATTAACCACGTTAATTAAAAACTATAACAAATGTAAATTTATTAAACTTCACCATCTGATTGAATAACCACACTCAACTTTCCAATATTTTTTTATTCATTATTGAGTACAAAACTATGATAACTTATTTAAGTTTCCCTAAAAAAACATAAAAGCACTATTAATATATTAAATATAAACGATTGTTTTAAAATAAAATATAAATGATTGTAGTAAATTTTGCAATATTTCAATATTAATGATTTCAAATTTGACTAATTTATTGCAACATTATTTAAAAAACACAACCTAACCCTAGTACTCTATTTCTGTACCAACAAATTCGAAATGATAAGACTAATCTGAGAAACTTGGTAGACAGTTTCAGCACTCTTGGGAAGATCAGAGTTATCTGGAGGTGATTCATCGCTAATACATTCATCAACATCAGTCATAACAGCACTAAGATGTACGCTCACACCATTGTAATCAAGACTTTTCAAAAGTTGTATAGCTTCCAAAACATCACCAAGAGCTTATTCCTCATCAAAATGATCCAAACATTCCTTGTAATGAGTTTGTAGCTTCGGATCAACACCACTTTTACCAATTAGGGTTTTGAGTAGATAACGGTGTTGGACACATCGGTACGTGTTACGTCGAGGGTGTATTGCGCTAGGCTGCTGAGGTCCCCTCCGGCTTTCAGAGTGAGAAGATTTTTACAAAATGTAGGGTTTTTGGCTTTCTGGCAAATGGCTTGTATATCAACAGCTGCATTAGAAGATGCAATGCAGAAGAGAAAGACAATAGCTAAGATTGATAAACGAGACATATTGTATTATTCTTTGGTTTCGTGGTTCTCTTTGTTCACTCTTTCGCCCTTTATATATATTTCATCAATTGAAAATAATAGAATCAACTATAATTTGATTTTGTTTTTAAAGTGTAATAAATAATTTTGGGTAAGATATCATATGATTTCTTATATATTGCTTTGCAATTTTATTACCTGCTTTGATTTTGATATATATATTTAATAAAATTGAAATCAAATCTTTGAATATGTGGTATATTTTAATCTTGCAAAGAGTTTGCACATTCATAGAATTAGAGTATTTTTGTGTCGGTATATTTTATATGGAACGTAAGTTCAACAAAAGAAGTAGGGTTTCTAACTTAGAGGTGAAAGTAGGAGACCATATTATCATTCAAGTCACACGGTTTAAATATCTTGGGTCCGTAATACAGAATGATGGAGAAATAGAAGGGGATGTAAATCATTTAATTCAAGCTGGATGGGTGAAATGGAGAAAGGCATCAGGTGTTTTATGTGATGCAAAGGTACCGCTCAAGCTAAAGGAAATTTTTTATCGGACTGCCGTAAGATCTACGGTTTTGTATGAGATATAATGTTGGACGGTTAAGAACCAACACGAGAATAAAGTAGGTGTAGCAAAGATGAGGATGTTGTGGTGAATGTGTGGTAAGACTCGACAGGATAAAATTAGAAATAAAATTATTAGAGTGAGTGTTGGAGTAGAGCGTATTGTAGAGAAGATGATGTAAAATAGACTTAGGTGGTTTGGACATGTAGAGAGAAGACTTGTAAACTCTATAGTAAGGAGAGTATATCAGATGGAGAGAAGACAAACAATTCGAGGAAGAGAAAGACCCAAAAAGACTATAAGAGAAGTTATGAAAAAGGATCTTGAAATTAATAATTTGGATAAAAGTATGGTCCTTGATAGTACATTATGGCAAAAGTTGATCTATATAGACGACCCCACCTAGTGGGATAAGGCGTAGTTGTTGTTGTTGTATTTCTTAAAAATAAGTGATTTTTAATATTTCTTAGCAATAAATTTTATTTTTCATAAATAAAGTTTACTCTTAATTTAAATCAAATCACAATTTTTATAATAAAAACATTATATTATATTCACCTTTTCTTATAATATTTCTTAGATGGGGATTATAGTGTGGTTTCTAAGTGTTCTTTTTGCAAAAATTATGTAGAATCCACAGATCATCTTTTCTTCTCTTGCACCTTTGCTTTATCGCTTTGGTATTGGCTTGCTAGTCTCCTGAACCTACACAATAATGTTAACTCTCTTAATATTTGGAATGCTTTTTCGAAAGCCTCTTCTCCTCATGGAGCGTTTATAATCAAAGTTGCATGTATTCATATTGTTTATTCCATTTGGGAAGTTCAGAATGTGATTCACTACTTCAACATAATCCCTAATTTTTCCAATATTAAAGCTAACATTTGTGCGTAGGGTGAAGCTTAATTGTATTAAGTTCAGTTTCTGCTACAGGCACAACTTGTTTGATTTTGAGGTGCTAAAGCCATTTCAAATTACAATCAAGTCTTCTAAGGCTCCTCTTATAAAGGAGATCTTTTGGGACCACCTCTTCCCGGTTGGGTGAAGTGTAATGTGGACGGCTCTTTTGTCTCTAGCTCGAAGTCCTCGGGTTGTTGTGGTATTTTTCGGTCAAATACAAGTAATTTTCTGTTAGCTTTTGTTGAATCGCTTTTTGAGAATTCATCTCTTTTTGCTGAGATTTGGGGTGTTATGCGTGGGATTGAATTGGCAAAAGAGAGATGTTGGAACCACCTGTGGGTGGAATCGAATTCCACAACGATTGTTAATGCTTTTCACGCGTCCAAGCTTGATCAGGTTCTTTGGAAAATTAGAAATAGATGGTTAAATTGTATTAGAATAGTTTTAGATATGAATTTTATTATTTCTCACATTTGTAAGGAAGACAATAGTTGTGCGGATTTTTTTGTTAATTTAGGTCGTACATCTACTTCCTTCATTCTTTTTTATTCTCTTCCAATTAGAATTAGAAGTGATTATGTAAAAAATAGACTTGATTTGTCTCTTTTTAAATTTAGATACTTTTGAGTGAGTCTTGGCCTAGTCCCCCCACTTTTTTGTGTATCAATCTTCTTTTGATTATAATATTGACTTTTATAAAATAAAATAAAAATTCTTAAAAATATATGATTTTTTAATATTTATTAATAAAAAAATTATTTTTAGATAAAAAATAAATTGTCTCATCTTTAAACAAAATTTACTATTTTTATTTAAATAAAATTATATTATACTTGTCTTAAATACACCATAAAGTTGTTATATTTTTAAATATCATTCCAAATCATATAAAAACTATATAAAAAAATTTAAATCAATAAAGAGTAATGATAGGTTTTCTATTATTTTTAAATATTTTTAAACAAATTTACTTTTATATATATTGTTTTTTATTTTTTATTTATTCTTAACCTCACTTTTTTGTGCTAATTATTCATTATTAATTTTTTATACACATTTTGAGCATTATTTTATATTCTATTTAAAATTGAAACAATTTCTTAATTAGATTTAAATAATTCGATTTTATTTTATTTATAGAAAATAAAAAAGGTGAGATTTGTTTTAAAATAAGAAGAAGTAATTTTCTTTATTAAGAATCTTGTTCAAGAGTGTTATACGTGTTATACGCATACACAACAGTACACCAAAACTTAAACTCTCTAGTAAGGGAATGGACTCCTCAATGTACGTATTGTGAACAGAATGATACCTTAATTTTTTATTCATTCCAAAGAACCCGTATCTTGCCATTATCATGCTTTGTATAGTTATCTATGTAAGACCATCTTTGGCCTAGCTTACCTCTAACAGTTCAAGTCTTATTTTTCTTAACTCTTGTTTCAACCAATATAACAATATCAGGGTCCATATTATTGAGGCAGGAGCTGGCGTCTCTACACTTAACTTATATAGAGTTATTACAACCTCAAATAATTGGTCTTTGGATTCTTACAGGTGATTTTAATAACATTCTCAGAGATCAAGATAGACTTGGAGGTAATTTCGTGATGGAATCAGAATATGTTGATTTTGTGTAAATGATAGAAAAAATGGACCTCCATGAAAAGGATAGCTAGGATGACCATTTCACATGGTCAAATAAGCAGGTGAATATGACCATTTACTCCTGCATAGATAGGGTTATTGGTAACATGGAGTGGCTTCAAAAGAATATTGACACAACTTTGCATATCATGGGTGCAGGAGTCTCAAATCATGCTCTTATGTGCTAGAAGACACATTAACAGATTACTCCTAAGAGAACTTATTTTAATTTTCCCAACGTTGTAATTGGCGTTGAAGGTTTCTACAAAGATGTGAAAGATAGCTAGACAGTTCCCTTAGCTTTCACTACCATATTCATTCTTTGGAAGAAATTACAAATATTACAACATGCCATAAAGTATAAAAGGAGACCTTTTAAGGGATTAAATCAGATGTTTGAGAAGGCTAGAGAGGATTTAAAGATAGCTCAACACCTCTTTCTGCAAGATAGAATGAATCATCATCTGATTGATGGAGTTAAAAGTTGCACTGTGGAGGTTCTCAAGCTGAATAACATGGAGGAACGTATTTTAAACCAAAGAGATAAAGTGGACTGGATTAGGATGGGAGATAGTAATAATGCCTTCTTTCGTGCTACTCTGAGGAGCAAGGTGAAATAAACAGTAGATGCATACTATCCTTAGTGATGGTGGCACTCGTTTGACCAACCAACAAGATATTGAAACTGAGGTTTTAAAGTACTATGGGAATCTTGTAGGCTCAGCAACCAGAAGCCTTAATGGGATTGATATTGATGCAATGAGGCAGGGCAATCAACTCAGTACTAAGCAAAGTGATTCTCTTGTTTCTCCTATAACTGTTGAGGAAATTCTAGAATCCCTCAAGGGTATTAAAGAATTGACAGCTTCAGAAATTGATGGTTATGGTGCCAAGTTTTACAAAGCAACTTGGGATATTATTAAAGATGAGGTCAATAATGTTGTAAAAGAGTTTTTTGAGAAAGGGAAATGTATAAGGCTATAAACAGCATTATAGTTACATTAATCCCTAAGACTCCAAATGTTGTTATGGTCAAATATTATGGACCTATATTTTGTTGCACTATCATATAAAAGATCATATCTAAAGTCATGACCAACAAATTAGGAATAGTTCTTGTCAAAATTATTTACCAGAGCCAAACAACGTTCGTGTCAGGGCAACATATTCATGATAACAACCGGCTTGCATATGAGCTAATAAAAAGGTATAGTAATGCTCTGATTTTATCGTATTTATTTTTAATAAATTAATTATGTGATACGGTGTGTTTATGTGTTGTGATGTGGTTTTGTGGCATTTGAATGTCTTAGAGAGAGATGGATATCATAAAAATATAAGTATGGAGGTAGATATATAATATAGTATTATTAGAATTATTATTATTAATATAATAATTGGATTATAGTTGGTGATTAAATAATTAGACTTTTAATCATCATTTAAATTAGAGGACGGTAATTGTGGGATTCTTATTTAGGGGTTCAAGTATTATAGTTGGGAAAGAACAAGGGAGTGGAGAAACAATTGTTTCAATCGATTGTAGAAACTAAAGAAAAGAGAGAAGGAGGAAAGGAGAAGAGCGTACAAGCTAGGGCAAGGAATTTTTCAGTAGAGAACTAACAATCGTCAACCAAAGTAAGGGTGGGGTTCTAACTCTATAAGAGAATATGTATTGATGGATTATGGTGGTTATATGACTCAAAGTTGTATGATTTTTGTGATGTTAGATTTGGGGTTTTGTATGTATGTGATAATGTTAATGTTTTGTGGTGATTTGTGATTGAATTTCTATGAAATTGATGAAGATTTGTGTTTGGGAAAGAATAGGGATGTTAGGTATTGCTTAGGTTCATTTTGAGAAGATTAAATTTCTAGTTTGATGTCAAAAATCGGTTTTTTAGGTTAAAACTATTGATTCCCGTAACTAAAAAAATAGTTGAATTTTTCACTGTCACTGTGAGGAAACCGGTTTTCAGTATTGAGGAAAATGATTTCCTGTGCGAAAATTTCAAAATTTGGCTACTGGCAGTGTGGAAACCGGTTTCTAGTAATCCCAAATTTAACTTCCACTTCAAATGTGAAAAGTTGGGTATTATTAACTTGATTTTTGTTAATGATCTCTTTCTTTTTGCATGAGGAGAAACCACATCTATTGATCTTCTTATGTAGGCTTTCATGATTTTTCTCCAACTCCACTAGCCTATCGGTTAACGCCTTGAAGTGAAAGATCTACTATAGAAATATTGATGAGCAAACTAAGGAGGCTATCTCAAGACTTACAAACTTCATATAGGGCCCCATCCCTTTCAGGTACCTTGATATCCCTTTAACTAGAAAGAAACTTGTTATGGCTCACTATTTGATCCTTGTTGATAAACTGGTAGCTAGAATTAGACATTGGAACAATATACTCCTTAGTTTTGATGGAAGAGTTAATTGATAAAAAAACGTGTTGTTTGCTATAAGAAACTTTTGGATGCAATGTATTCCCCTCTCTAAGAAAGCGATTAGAGCAGTTGAGGCAGTTTGAAGATCTTTTCTTTGATCAGGTGGAGAAAAGATCACTAGAAAATCTCCTGTGTCGTGGGACAAAGTATACAACCCCAGAAATCAAAGGGGTCCTAACATCATTTCTTTGTATTTCTGGAGTCAAACCTTTTTAATGAAGATGTTGTGGAATTTATGTGAGAAATCTGGCAACCTTTAGATCAAGTGGATCCATTGATATTATGTAAAAAACAATAATATCATGATTGTTCCAATTAAAAACTTTTGCTCGTGGAGCCTTAAAGTGATTCTAAATATTAGGCATAAGGTGGATCATCTTTAGAATTGGAACATCATGCTCCAATGGCCAAATCAAAGTTGAAATTCTCAAAAGCAGAAATTATCTATAAGGGCTGAATTTTCACCGCAAGTCTTTTTGATCTTTTGTAGGTTGGATCCTTATGATCTCTATACTTTGTATGGTTTCTGATTTAGAAATAAAGTATTTCCTTTCTAAAAAAAAGTTATTTGTTTATAAAATATTTAGAATCACATTTTTTTATAAAATTGAAGAGTTATTAAATTGTTAGAAAAAGTGGTAGAGATCTATTTAATTTTATGAGAAGAAGAAATTAGGATTTGATAAAATAAAATTTATTTATTACTAGAAATAGGAAAAAATATTTTAAGTAAGAATCATGAGTCACTAACTAATCATTTTTAACCATTAGATTAAAATAATATCAAAGGTTATACATTAGTGTAACGAGAATAGTTAGTTTTGTCAATAATTGTTATCTTATATTATTTGTGATCTTCTATTTTAATATTTCTTAATTATATTAGAGTTTACCTGGTGTAGAAAATATTATTGAACACAATATTATTCTCGAGATTGGACCTCCTTGTCAAATGCCTTAAATCAATGTAACATATATCTGATATATAATGTGGTCTATTCAAAATCTCATGTTCAAATCCAATTTTAAATGTGAATAAATAATTAACCACGTTAATTAAAAACTATAACAAATGTAAATTTATTAAACTTCACCATCTAATTGAATAACCACACTCAACTTTTCAATATTTTTTGATTCATTATTAAGTACAAAACTATGATAACTTATTTAAGTTTCCCTAAAAAAACATAAAAGCACTACTAATATATTAAATATAAATGATTGTTTTAAAATAAAATATAAATGATTATAGTAAATTTTGCAATATTTCAATATTAATGATTTCAAATTTGACTAATTTATTGTAACATAATTTAAAAAACACAACCTAACCCTAGTACTCTATTTCTGTGCCAACAAATTCGAAATGATAAGACTAATCTGAGAAACTTGGTAGACAGTTTCAGCACTCTTGGGAAGATCAGAGTTATCTGGAGGTGATTCATCGCTAAGACATTCATCAACATCAGTCATAACAGCACTAAGATGTACACTCACACCATTGTAATCAAGACTTTTCAAAAGTTGTATAGCTTCCAAAACATCACCAAGAGCTTGTTCCTCATCAAAATGATCCAAACATTCCTTGTAATGAGTTTGTAGCTTCGGATCAACACCACTTTTACCAATTAGGGTTTTGAGTAGACTAACGGTGTTGGACACATCAGTACGTGTTACATCGAGGGTGTATTGCGCTAGACTGCTGAGGTCTCCTCCGGCTTTCGGGGTGAGAAGATTTGTACAAAATGTAGGGTTTTTGGCTTTCTGACAAATGGCTTGTATATCAACAGCTGCATTAGAGGATGCAATGCAGAAGAGAAAGACAATAGCTAAGATTGATAAACGAGACATATTGTATTATTCTTTGGTTTCGTGGTTCTCTTTGTTCACTCTATCGCCCTTTATATATATATATATATATATATATATATATATATATATATATATATATATATATATATATATATATATATATATATATATATATATATATATATATATATATATATATATATTTCATCATATAATTTGATTTTGTTTTTAAAGTATAATAAATAATTTTGGGTAAGATATCATATGATTCCTTATATATTGCTCTACAATTTTATTACCTGCTTTGATTTTGATATATATTTAATAAAATTGAAATCAAATCTTTGAATATGTGGTATATTTAAATCTTGCAAAGAGTTTGCACATTCATAGGATTAGAGTCTTTTTGTGTTGGTTTTTTTAAATGATTTTATATTGTTGCATATTTTTGAAAAAAATTTAAAATATCATTTTATGTATTATATTATTTAATTTTTTATTTATTTAATGAAAATCATTTTTGAGGTATATTTTTTATAAAAAAAAAATTATGTGATTTTGATTATATTTTAACTATAATAATATATATATTTATGTTACTAAATGTTAAAATTAATATTTTAATTTGTAAAATATAAATTTTAAAAACTTTTAATATTTTTAAAAAGTTTAAATAAAAAATATTTTTAAAAATTAAAAAAACGTATTTAAAAGTTAAACGAACAGTCCTCAATCTTATGAATAAAAGAATATAAGCAAATCTAATTCTCGTGAATAAAAGAATACAGACAAATTTTAGTGTATTCTTTCTTTCTATTCTCAGTTTTCAATTACATAACGTGTGATTGTGATTTCCTATAAACAAATCATAGGGTTTTTTTTCTATCTATTCTCAGTTCTATAAAGTATGACTGTGTTTTCTTAAGAATAAATCAGATTGTAACGGTTTCTTTTTCTATTTTCAGTTAGCATGTATGTGATTGTGATTTTTTTTTTGGTACAAATATGTGATTGTGTTTTTCTTCCTTCACTTTTTAACAATTTTAGGTATATTTTAATAATTGAAAATAATATAATAAGTTTTAAATAAATAGATTTTTTCTTTGTATTTTTTAAATTAAATTTTATAAAAAAAATTCCAAATATTACAAGTTTTTATATATTTGTTTTTTCTAAATTAAAACAATAATTTTGATATATTATAACATATAAACACACATTATTGAAAATCAAAACTTAATCAAAATTGTAACATGGAGTGACTTCAAAAGAATATTGACACAACTTTGCATATCATGGGTGCATGAGTCTCAAATCACGCTCTTATGTGCTAGAAGACACATGAACAGATTACTCCTAAGAGAACTTATTTTAAGTTTCCCAATGTTGTAATTGGGGTTGAAGGTTTCTACAAAGATGTGAAAGATAGCTAGACAGTTCCCTTAGCTTTCACTACCATGTTCATTCTTTGGAAGAAATTACAAATATTACAACATGTCATAAAGTATAAAAGGAGACCTTTTAAGGGATTAAATCATCTATTTGAGAAGGCTAGAGAGGATTTAAAGATAGCTTAGCAACTCCTTCTGCAAGATAGAATGAACCATCATATGATTGATGGAGTTAAAAGTTGCACTGTGGAGGTTCTCAAACTGAATAATATGGAGGAACGTGTTTTAAACCAAAGAGCTGAAGTGGACAGGCTTAGGATGGGAGATGGTAATAACGCCTTCTTTCGTACTACTCTGAGGAGCAAGATGAAACAAACAGTAGATGCATACTATCCTTAGTGATGATGGCACTCGTTTGACCAACCAACAAGATATTGAAACTGAGGTTTTAAAGTACTATGGGAATCTTGTAGGCTCAGCAACCAGAAGCCTTAATGGGATTGATATTTATGCAATGAGACAGAGCAATCAACTCAGTACTAAGCAAAGTGATTTTCTTGTTGCTCCTATAACTGTTGAGGAAATTCTAGAATCCCTCAAGGGTATTAAAGAATTGACACCTTCAGAAATTGATGGTTATGGTGCCAAGTTTTACAAAGAAATTTGGGAGATTATTAAAGATGAGGTCAATAATGTTGTAAAAGAGTTTTTTGAGAAAGGGAAATGTATAAGGCTATAAACAGCATTATAGTTACCTTAATCCCTAAGACTCCAAATGTTGTTATGGTCAAATATTATGGACCTATATTTTGTTGCACTATCTATAAAAGATCATATCTAAAATCATGACCAACAAATTGGGAATAGTTCTTGTTAAAATTATTCACCAAAGCCAAACAAAGTTCGTGTCAGGGCAACATATTTATGATAACAACCGACTTGCATATGAGTTAATCAAAGATTATAATAGAAAAGGTGTCCCCCATATGTATGCTTCAAATGAGTCTTCAAAAAGCATCGACATAATGGGGTGTGTAACTCCCCGATTTTATCGTATTTATTTTTAATAAATTAATTATGTGATGCAGTGTGTTTATGTGATGTGATGTGATTTTGTGGAATTTGAATGTCTTAGAGAGAGATGGATATCATAAAAATATAATGATGGAGGTAGATATATAATATAGTATTATTAGAATTATTATTGTTATTATTATTAATATAGTAATTGGACTATAGTTGGTAGTTAAATAATTAAACTTTTAATAATTATTTAAATTAGAGGAGGGGTATTGTGGGGATTCTAATTTAGGGGTCCAGAGGTTATATTGGGAAAGAACAAGGTAGTGGAGAAACAATTGTTTCAATCGATTGTAGAAACTAGAGAAAAGAGAGAACGAGGAAAGGAGAAGAGCGTACAAGTTAGGGCAAGGAATTTTTTGGTAGAGAACTAAGAATCGCCAACCAAGGTAAGGGTGGGATTTTAACTCTATAAGATAATATGTATTGATGGATTGTGGTGGTTATAGGACTCATAGTTGTATGATTTTTGTGATGTTCAATTTGGGATTTGTATGTATGTGATAATATTGATGTTTTGTGGTGATTTATGATTGAATTTCTATGAAATTGATGAAGATTTGTGTTTGGGAAGGAATGAGGATGTTAAGTATTGCTTAAGTTCATTTTGAGAAGATTAAATTTATGGTTTGATGTCAAAAAATAGGTCCGTTTAACGTGCCATTTAGACTGTTGCAAAGCTAAAAATATTATCTTTCCAATAACTTTAATTTTGATAACAAAAAAAGATTATTTTTGTAATTGATTTCTTGAGCCTTGTGTGTCAGTGTTGGAAAAATTGTGGAGTATTTGTGATGATTGAACCTAATAATTTTGCGAATGTTGCATAAATGAATTGCACGTTATATTGCATGATAATTATGATGTCCCTGGCCCAGATTGGCTTTATTTTGAAAGATATTTCATTATAATTACATAATCTCGTTGTTGCATGTCAGTGTTGCATACATGCATCGTTGATAGCCCGAATTTAGCTTATGTTGTTGGCCCGGATTTGGCCATATGTTGATAGTCCGGATTTGACTTTATGGAGAGGGCTTACGCCCTGATGGTACCACATGCATAGTATTAGTTGCATTACATTGCATTGTTGAATTGTCGATGTTGTGATATGAAGATAATATGTGTGCATATGATTAATATGTTTATTATGACGAATGTCGTTGATATGTCGGTGTGAGATATGAAATGTGTAACTATGTGTATTAAATCATTGGTTACTCATTATTATATATCCTTTTATATTGTTATGATATCTCACCCTTATGTTGGAATGATGTTTTATACAATATCGCTCAGGTACCGAAGATTAGAGTTGCTACTAGCTAAGGGATTTTGCCTCATTTTGCGTAGATTGAGTCAGTGTCAGCTCTGATACGTAACACTGAGGGTTTTTGGCTTTTGTTTTATTTATGTTTTGGAAAAAATTATTGTAGTACTCTGTTTCATTGAGTTTTAATTATTATTGATGTTATTTAGATTATTTGGAGATTTTAACTCGTGTTGAATATTTTTAACTGTTATTGATGTTTTTCCACTACGAATAAATGAAAGAATATTCAGATATGAAATATGTGTGGTTTTATGTTTTATAAATGTGTTACGTATTTTATTTGGCGAGCATGTGTATGTCTGAAGGTAATATCTTAAATGTTGAAACATTTTAATTCCTTTGAATTTCAATTATATAATTACGCCAGAAATTTAGGGTATTACAGGGTGGAGTGCTCTTGAAACCATTTTGAGTTAGTTGAGTTTTCCTCAAAAATTTATCAGTTGGATTATGCTTACCATTACCAAAGTGTCATATAGATTCAGGATTAATGGTGAACTTACGAACATCTTGAAAGCAAAGAGAGGACTTAGGCAAGGAGATTCCATATCTCATTTTCTCTTTGTCATTGTTATGGAATACCTTTATAGAGTGCTTCAAAAGCTTAGAAGTAATCCCGAATTTAACTTCCACTCCAAATGTGAAAAGTTGGATATTATTAACTTGAGTTTTGTTAATGATCTCTTTGTTTTTGCATGAGGAGATACCACATCTATTGATCTTCTTATGTAGGCTTTCAAGATTTTCTCTAGTTCCACTAGTCTATCGGTTAACCCCTTGAAGTGAAAGATCTACTATGAAAATATTAATGAGCAAACTAAGGAGGTTATCTCAAGACTTACAAAATTCATAGAGGGCCCCATCCCTTTTGGGTATCTTGGTATCCCTTTAACTAGAAAGAAACTTTTTGTGGCTCAATATTTAATCCTTGTTGATAAACTGGTAGCTAAAATTGGACATTGGAACAATAGACTCCTTAGTTTTGTTGGAAGAGTCCAACTGATAAAAAGCGTGTTATTTGCTATAAGAAACTTCTGGATGCAATGTATTCCCCTCTCTAAGAAACCAATTAGAGTAGCTGAAGCAGTTTGAAGATATTTTCTATGGTCAGGTGGAGAAAAGACCACTAGAAAATCTCTTGTGTCGTAGGACAAAGTCTGCAACCCCAGAAATCAAGGGTTCCTAACATTATTTCTTTGTATTTTTGGAGTCAAGCCTTTTTAATGAAGATGCTA